AGATATAACACATGAAAGAATGTGTTGTTCGCATGAAATGAATGGCCCTTTTCTTGCATTGGATTAACATTTGAGAGAGAGAGAGAGAGAGAGAGAGAGAGAGAGTAGATATATGAATATGATTTATTAGCAATTAAATTCCAATAAAACATTGTAATGTTACATTACTAATGTATGTCTATGCGTTTTATTAATAGGCCAGTTTAATTCATTCAATGTGCACATACATATGTATATTTGTTATAAATAATTATACTATTAAAATCTTTATACACTTATTGATTATTATAATTAATAACAAGAACATTCAATTTGCTAATGTTATGTCAGAATATTTTATTTATTTGTATAAAATTATAATCTTTACATAATTGGCTTTAATAACAAATTTGTTTGTTGTTTGTTTTTCTTGTTTGAGTTCAGTCTCTCTATGGCTCACTCTCTGTAGATTTAAATAATAAAAAACATCTAAATTTACGTCATTTACATCGGAATACATGAAAACTTTGTAATTATAGATAAGTTTAATATCGTTGGTGTGGATCAGCCAACCAGAGCACCGGTTGCCTTATATTTAGAAACTTTTAGGTATGGCTTAAACTCGCTGTCGACTTACTCTCGACGATAACTCCAACAAAACGCATAATTTAATTCATTTTTCCACTAAAATGAAGCTTTCATTCAATTAAAACTGAAGACAATTTATTTATTAGTTTTTATATAATTTAAATTTTAATTAAAATTTTCTCGCTTTAAATATATATTTATATACATTTAGCTGTCATTGTATTGATCTTTGAGAACACAAATCCTATATAACAATGGTTTCAAAAATGAAGTGAGTTTTATATCCATAAATGTTTCATAGTTTGTGCTTAAATTTAAATGAATTAATAAATTAATAATTAATTTTGTTTATAATTTAGAGAAATGGATATTTTTGGATTAGGAAATCCATTGCTGGACATCACAGCCACAGTCGACGACGACTTTTTACATAAGTATGTTCTCGTGTTTCGCAAAACTTTTCGTATTTTTCACATTTAACTCTTAATTATCTAAATAACATATAACCGTAAACTATATATTTCTGCTTTTATTTTTCATCACAAAATCTGTGTATTAGACATATTTTGATAGTGTTGTGCAGATCTGTAGGTTTATATAAACTTTATACATATTTATTATTTTTAAGACTTAAAAATTTTTCGGCAAAATCTTAAACAAATTTTCGCATTTAATAATTTTACACACATTTTTAAATAAATAAAAATTTGAATACTTGGACAAAAATAAACTTAATTTTTGTTTAAAGTATTGTGCAATATATCTGAATAAAAATGAAAAAAATTTAAAATTACATAAACGTAATAATTTTTAAATAAACATATTTGTTAGTGACAAAAATTTTAAAAATGAAAAACAAAAACTATTTATCAAAAATATGACAATTTTATACCATTTATAGATACAGTTTGCCGAAAAACAGTGCAATTTTGGCCGAACCACAGCACGAGGCCATGTATGAGGAGGTGATCAACAAATATGACATCGAGTACAGTGCGGGCGGCGCCACACAAAACACTATGAGATACTGCCAATGGATTATCGGGAAGAATAATCAAGTGACCACTTTCTGCGGTTCCGTTGGTAACGACTATTTCGGCAAAATTATGGAGAAGAAGGCAAAGACAGACGGCGTGAATGTGAAGTATATGACGGCTCCGGACAAGAATACGGGCACATGTGCTATATTGTTGACCGATGGCGGACAGAACAGAGCGATGTGCGCCTACTTAGGTATTGTCACTTCAATTTCATTATCTCTTTACTCACTTTTCAGTTCATTTGTTTTTCCATTTCGTTATTTGTTTTTTCCTTTCTTTCCTCTTCCCTTAATTGTTAGTCTTTTTGAGAGCTTTTTGATTAAACTCTAAGCGAATCATCAATTAATTTGATTGAAATCATGAATAAACACATTTTATTACTATAAGTTAGTGTTTCTAATTAAATGTTTTAGCAAATTGTCTATCATTAATATTTATAGAAAATTATTTACTAAATTTGGTTTTATATTTAGATTATTGTTATTTTCTACGGATAATAAATATTGTTGGAAAAATTCAAAATTTGAAAGTCTTTTAAGCAGAATTTAAATCTTAATTACATAATCATTTAGTATTTAATAGGATATCCATTAATAAAAAATAATTACTTTTTACAAAAAATAATTGTACAAAATCAAATCATTTATAAAATTACATCGTTCAATGCGTTTTGAATGATTAACTAAATTAAGCTTAAAAATTATTACACAGTAATTTATAGTATTTAATGGCATCCATGTGTATAACGTTAGGAAATAAATAAACTATTTAATTATTAATTATATTAGAAATCGTTTTTAAATATATCACCATTAATTCTTAATACTAATTAAATAATACTTCTGTTCCCTAAACAACAGTTAATTTTATGATATTTTTAATGAATCATTAATAATGATATACTTATTTAAGAATCGTTTTGTTTTATAAAATAATATTCAGCTCATTATGTCTAACATATTAAATATAAGATTTTCAGTTCTTGTTAGCAAACTATGGGATGCCTTGCATTCGGGAGAAAATATGTTATCAATTGTTTGATATGCCATACGATAAACAATGCTGTGTTAGACAAATGATATGCCGTTTAAGATCAAT